TTCCCAGTCCAGCACTGGCATGGGTGCTTCTAAAACACAAATTAAATAAAAATACTTTAGCTTGGGCCGGCCCATGGCTCACTCGGTAGAGTGCGGTGCTGATAACACCAAGGCCATGGGTTCGGATCCTATATAGGGATGGCCGGTTAGCTCACTGGGTGAGCGTGGTGCTGACAACACCAAGACAAGGGTTAAGATCCCCTTACTGGTCATCTTTAAAAAAAAAAAAATACTTTAGCTCACCAGTTTTTTCCAATCTTTTTATTTCAGTCCTACTGCTCTCCTTTCCCACTTTTTATTCCCTTCTTCATAGGTACAATCTGAAGGACCTCATGTGACTGGCTTTGTGTGTCTGGAAGTAGCTCTTTCTCTACCTCCTGCTTGACAGAGGACAGTCTCCTGCCTGATTATAAATGGAATCTTACCATTTTCCTGGCCTTGAGAGTTCCAGGAGGTGGAGGTGGAGACAGTCAAGTCTCTAAGGAGTAAGGTAGAGAATTATTGCCAGCCTTATTTTCTTAAGGTGGCTGGCCAGTTTGGGGATCCAAACCCTTGGTGTTACAACACTGCACTCTAACCAACTGAGCTAACTGGCCAGCCCTAGCCTTGTTCTTGATAACCCACATTTGGGCCTGTGGTGAGCAGGGCTGGCCAGTGCAAAGAGCTAAAGCCTGCTGTCAAAGCCTGACCTTTGTCCTGTAACTCCTCTCAAGCAACACAGAATGGATCCTTAATTTTTCCATTTTTCCCCTTTCCCTATCTCAGGACTAGTGGCTGTTGACGAAAGTCTGGTGTCAAGTTGGGCAAACAAAGTCTACTTTTTTTTTGCTATCTCCTTGGCAGCACCCGATGAATCTTTCACCATCAACTGTAAATATTAAATAGAAATATTAAGGAAGAGCAATTTCCCAGCAAACAGGAAGAAGGGAAGCTCATGTGATGCAGGGTACACTTGGGAGCCTGCTGGTGATGATGTGGGGTGGCTAGGATTGCTCTTCTGCCACAGCCTGCTCTTATCAGATGTTACTTATTTTTCCTCAGGAAGAAAGAACAGTAATCCCAGTGGCAAGAGTTTTGGGGAGCTCCAGGGTGGGACAGATCAGCACAGACCTAGAAAGGAATGAGCCAATCAGGTCAGCAACAGAGGGAGGGCAAAATCACAGAAACAAAAGGTCTGAGTGACAGAGTGGACAAGATCCCCAGAGTAAAAGAGAACTGAAGGAATAGATGGAAAGCTACACAAGCTTTCTGGATTTCCCAGGCCTGGAGCAGCCTGGCGAGAAAATTTCCCAGTCATAAGCTCTTTGTATTCACTTATTTATTTATTTATTTATTTTTAAAAGATGACTGGTAAGGGGATCTCAACCCTTGACTTGGTGTTGTCAGCACCATGCTCAACCAGTGAGCTAACCGGCCATCGCTATATAGGGATGTGAACCCGCAGCCTTGGTGTTATTAGCACTGCACTCTCCTGAGTGAGCCACGGGCTGGCCCTTGCATTCACTTATTTAATAAGAATAGTTCAGAAGCAGCAATCTCAGCTGTAGAACAAGAAATCCAGTTTCAGAACATTTATCTCTCCAAAAAAAGTGCATTTCCCTCCCTCTGGCACTCAGTTGTATGAATCTGAACTCTTCCTCTCACTCAAGGCCTCTTACATATTATTCCCAGGTTGGCTAGCACAGACATCTCAGAATAATGCCCAAATGTGAAATTTCTGTCCTCAGGAGTCATCATTTCCAGTATAAAACTGAGTGACAGAGAATGAAGACTAAGGATCAAAGATTACCAGGTTAATTTGCCTAAAACCAATTCACCTAAAGTCGATTAGTCTAAAATATTTATCAAATCTGCAGCATTTCAAAAGGATTTAGTAGATCCACCCTTTTACACTTTATTGCTGTTGTCCATATAACCTTTGTTAGTCAACTGAATATGCCTCATACCTGTTTATTTGTTTAGGATATACTGGCATTTTAACAGGAGGAATGTAGACATTAGACCAAAGCATCAAAATCATATTGAACTCTGTTACATTTTTCAAGGCATCTAATTTGTAAAGGAATATTGGATTAAGAAACACAAAAAATGATACACAAAATGTCTGTACCAATTGTATTTATTGCTAGAAACTTTAAACTTTCAAGAAGTGTTTGAAAAGTAGATAACAGAAAAATACACCCATAAAGATAGGAAGCAATCTCATCATTTACAAAGTGCTGCAAATTTGATAAATTTATGTTGTTGACCATAACTCAGAAATACTCTTGGATGGATAAATATAAATCCTTGAAATACCCAAAGCACGACAAAAAAGAATACGGCACCTAAATGAATACAAAAACTCACAAAAGGGAATTGAGCTTTTGGCAAATTGGTCATTAAATGAACTGAAATTTAAACAAACAAGTTTTTAGTGAATTGGTTTTAAGAGATCTAGCTTTAGGTAAACTATTTTCAGCCAAACTGACTAGAAGCAAATCGAAGTGTTTTGCTCCCTCCAGCTCCCCCAAGCCCCAGTTTTGGAGTTGCAGTGGATATAATCCAGGATCCCTCTGGGGTGGCAGATCTGGAGTGGTGAGCTACTGCTAGGGAACTAAGCGTAAGAGTGACCTGAGAAGGGAGTAAGAGAGAGTGTATGTGTGTGTGTGAGAGTGTGTGTGTGTGTGTGTGTGTGTGAGAGAGAGAGAGTGTGTGCATATGAATGTATTCACGTGCACAATACTGTGCTGTAGGGCTCAGTGCACCTAAACCTGGTGGTGTGCAGGGAGTATGGCTAGTGTGGAGCTTTCTAGACATCCCACCCAGCAAGCTCCACACCCACAGATCTATTCATTACCTTCCCCCCTGAGAAGAGCAACTGAGTTCAAGCACCCACCTAGCCTCTCCAGGCCCACATGAGTCCGAGAAACAGGCAATACAGACAGCAGGCCCACCCAGAGCTCATCCCCTTTCCCAGCAGAGGGATGAAGAGCTATCCTAGTCCTTGACTAATTCATAAGGTCCAAAGTTTCTACCTCTTCATCTAGACACAGAGATAGGATACTTGGTAAGCTCCAGGCTGATCCCATATCTTATACCATGTGCAGGATACAAAACAGTGAGGTGTTTACACTTGGTTCCCTGGCAGTAGCTTGCCACTCCAGACCTGCCACCTCTCAGGGGGATCCTGGATTACATCTACTGCAGTCCGAAAACTCTGGGGTTTGGGGGAGGTGGAGGGAGCAAAACACTTTGATTTGGTTCTAGTTAGTTAGGCTGAAACTAGTTCACCTAAAGCTAGGTCCTCTCCTCCTGTAATCCAGAACACCAGAGCATTGCTTGACTTAGGCACAAATATGTACTGGAGATACAGACCAGCATAAAACATTCAGAAAGTATTAGAACCCGCCTGTGTGTGTCTGAGCATGTTACAGCACAGGCTGCACATGTGGAAAGAAGGCCAGTCACCCCCACCCTGGCAATAGAAGGTTCTTCCTCCACAACCCATTTGGAATGTTACGATCTTTGGGTCTCTGGCCCTTGGGTCCCTCCCCAGAGGACTCTTCTGCCAGGCCAGCAGAGTGCATTCAGTGCCTTGGCTGGCCTCAGAGGGGCCCACTGGCCAGAGGAGTTTGTCAGCGATGGTGATGGAAGCAGCAGTTGACTGCAGCTCAGATATAGTTGGCAGGGGCCTGTCGGGCATTGAGCCGCTGCATGTGACATCCATGGCAGAGCAAGTGCCCATCCAGAGGGAAACAGCAGCAGCCTTCCTCATCACTCAGTTGCATCCGGCAGTCCTAGGGAAGAAGGCACTTAGTTCACCTCAACCCAGGCAGCTAGGACACTGAGGACATCTTGGGAGTTTGCCCAGCTCAATACCACACTCCTAACACTGGAAGAAGGGATTGCCGGGCATGGAAGGGATGGAAGAGAAATCTGATGAAATACCTCAGCTGAACACCAGGTGTCGCTGCTGCAGCAGAAATAATGAGAAAAGCCTACATTTCCAGCAGTTAACCGGAGTACCTAGTCTTTACAGAAAAGATTAAACGAGTAGGACCAGAGACAAGAGACTAGAGATAGGTCACAGCACCTTTCTGGTTTTCCATACCCTACACTTCTCCTGTAGATGCCTGTCTGTTTTAGGACTTGACTTAACTCCTCCCCTCTCCCCAATTCCCATTTTCCTGCATCAGCCCCAGACCCCAACACTCACCTCACAGTGGTAGCACTCAAAGTGATAATCCCGGTCCATGGATATTACCCTCACGATGTCCTCACAGCCCTGAAATATGCAGACTCCCATGGCGATGAGAGCAGCATGACACCAGCTCCACCCTCCCCCCATACAGGACCCTTCCCACCCCAATGGGAAGATCATGCAAAGGCTCCCAGAGCCTCTTTGCAATCACCTGTAGCCTTGAGATGCCTTCGCAAATCCTGCCAGAACTCTCCCCTCCCTTTCCTTGTGGCTCCCCCACATGGAGCATTCCCTCTGTACGGGAGCCCTCCCTGGCCTTACCTACTTCTCCCAGCTGTGGGGGAAGCAGAGGAAAGGGAAAGGGGCAGATGGCATACATAAAGTAGGCTAAGCTGGGGACAAGGAGATTCAATAGGGTCTGGTTCCTCATGGGCTTTTGGCTTCTCTACCTAGGCACACCCTCTGCACATACAGCTTGAATCATTTCTGACCCCTCCTGCTAGGCCTGAGGATTCTTCCCACCTCTTCCCAGCCCCTCTATCTGTGATCTGGTGACCTAGACCTCAAAGAAAGTCTCCTCCTTTGGACTGAGGTAGAAGAGAAGCAGCCTGGGCCCAGTGAGGCTGTCAGACATGTCCAGGCCCGGATGTTAGGGTCAGGGTGGTGACCCCAAGAACAGAGTCACACGGGAATCTTCACAGAGTACATTCCTCAGCACCACCAATTCCTATGGGAGGCCAGACGTGTCTCCATCCCCTCCCCAGAGGCAGCGGCACTGGCTGAGCTGTAGGAGAACCCAGATATACTGACCTCTGAGGGGAGGATGGGTTGGCCGCAAGCTGCACACTTAGGGGCATAATTTCTGAAAGAGAAAGGGCAGAGATGAGCTGAGGCCAGGGAATCCCGGGGCCCAGTTCCACACCATCCCCCAAGGGGTGGACTCACTTGTGGTAGTCAGTGACACAGTACACCTGGTTGGAGAAGTCCACTGTGAAGGGGATGCCATCCAGGCACTTGTTGCAAACGATGCATCGGAAGCAGCCTGGGTGATAGGACTTCCCCATTGCCTGTAGGATCTGGCTCGCGGGGTAGGAGGATAATCAGTCCCCATCTAGTTCCTACTCTCCAACTACCCATTATGTTCTCTGCTGCTCTCACTAACCTTATCCAACACCCTGCTATCCTCCTAGGACAATGCTATATAATTTGAGGGAGCCAAGGAGTCTTAAAATGGAGGCAGAAACTCTGAAAAAGGTCTTAGAGAGTATCCCGGCCAGTAGTTTTCAACCCGGGCTGCATATTAGAATCACGGAGGGAGCTTTTAAAGAAAAAAAAAATCAATGCCTGGGTCCCACCCCACACCTATTATCACAAATTCTGGTGACGGGACCCAGGCATTGTATGTGGGGGAGGACACTGTATTTTTTTAACTTTTTCCCACGTGATCTACTAGGCTGCCAGGGTTGAGAATTACTGATCTCATTCAATCCCTCCTTTTTACAGAAAAGAAAACTTAAGTTCCAACTGATCCCAATCCATAGCAGAAAAGGGATCAGGACCCAGGACCCCACACTCCTAGCTCAGGCTGGAGGGCCCAGCTGTGCCTGCAGAATTAGGGAGGGGCCAGATCACAGAAGGCTGGATAGCAGGATTAGAAACCTGGATTTGATCCCATAGGCAAAGCGAAGGCACTGTAAACAGTTGCTCTGGGGAGAAATGGGATGAAAGTGATTTATCTGGTCATAGATTTCCTCTCCTGACCTCTCTCAGTACCATTTAGCCCCTGATTCCACCCCTCAAGCTCACAGAGTCTCAACTGAAGGCACTGTCCTTACCTTCTCCAAAATCAAGTGACCACAGACACAGCATTTCTCAGCCGCCTCCTGAAACCCTGAAAACTAGGGAGAAAAGACAAAAGGAGGATGTAACTAAGCTGAGAATGATGGTTGGAACTCCAGTGAGCCACCAAGAAGGGGATCCCAGTGTGGGAGGCAATTCCAGGTCCAGGGAACCCCTCACTCACCAAATAATCTTCCTCGCAGTACACAGAGCCGTTGACGCTGTAGAAAGCCTTGCAGCGCAAAGTTCGCCCTAGAAGTAGCAAAGAAGGGGCTGGGACCTATCCTGCGGTCTAGGCGCAGGGCTTTTCCCGGTATGGGGTCACTGTTCCCCAATGTAGCATGACACATTCAAACCTGGACTCCAGTGCTTTTCCTTCTAACTGCTATCTTTCCTCCCTCCCCACACAAAAACCCCATCTGATGTAATTCCAATTTGCTTTGGCCTCATTCCAGCTAACTCCCCTCTTCTGCTTACTGCTCCTCCAGCTCCTGCCTCAACAGTTTACTACCCTCCCCTAAAAAAGTGCCTTCCTCTCCAGAGCATGCTCTCCTCTCCAGTGCCAGTGCATGGGGAATCACCTGGGAGAGCAAGCCAACCACATGCACATGTAGTACATGGTAAAGAAGCTCTGTCCAAACAAGGTGCCATACAATTTGCATAGACAGAGTCACACTGTCACAAGCCTTGCTTGCCCTCTAGGACCTTTCAACTTAGGAGACTCTTTGCCTGAGCATAGCTATCCT